TTCTGTAGTTGCTTATTTACTTCTGACGCTATTAATTCATGTATTTCAGCTAAGCTAGTGTCCACTGCATTTGTTCTGTTTGGGCATTGTGTTTCCTCTATATGTTTCTGTATTTGATTCTTTTTTAAAAAAATAAATTATTTATTTGTGTGTGTGTGTGTGTGTGTGTGTGTGTGTGTGCGTGTGGCCAGCTCAACCCACCAGGGGGCGGCATGTGGTGCTGGGGGATTGAACTGTGGTCCCTGTGCTTTGCTAAGCTTGTTCTAAGTAGGTGCTTGAGACCACTGAGCCATCTCACCAGCCCCTGCATTTGATTCTTAAGTTCAGCTGCTATAAACTCAGAGTTTTCTTTTTTTAATTCCAGAAATTAATTCTGCTCTGAGTTCCTCTACATCTTTCTGCTGTTGTTTATTTACTTCTGACGCTATTGATTCATTTATTTCAGCTGAGCTAGTGTCCTCTGCCCTTGTTATGGGTGGGCTTGAGACCTGAGATTGCATTTTGCTCCTTGTCTTTATCATTTTGGTTAACACTGACCTGTGGCCTTTGGTGTAGAGCTTTGATGCAGTTAGGTTATCACTTAATGAAATTCAGGTACTGATATACCAAGTTCTAGTTCATGCAGTTGTGCCTGGCTTGGGTTAGGCTACTGTGCCCAGCTCCTTACTGTTGTTGCCCTTGGAGGTGGGCCTGCTGTACACCTCTGGTATGATGATCTGTTCCTGGATTAGCTTTGTGGTTTTGACCCTAGTCTCACTGTGGAGACTTTATCTGCAGGGCTTTACCTCAAGCCTGTATGCTAGGTCTGGGCTGGGTCTAGAGGGGTATGAGGAGCAGGGGCGTGAGAGCTCAGAAGCTCTCCCACACACTCACCAGTGTTGTGTTTTGGTGGGTGTGCAGGACTCCCAAGAGCAGGGCAGCAGTTCTTATTCAGATGGCAGACTGAGCTGGATCTGGCCAGTCAGGGGAGGTCCAAATAACAAAGGCAAAGGCCTCTTACATAGCGGGCCTGAGCGGGCCTGAGCTTGGAGCGGTGGGTGGGTGCAGGACAGAGCAGAAGCTCTCCCCCACACTTGCAGGGCCTGGTGTTGGTCGGATATGGAGGGCCCAAGGCGCAGCGGAAATTCTCACTCAGAGGGCGGGCTGCGCTGGGTCTGGCTGGGAAGGGGAGGTCTGGAGAACGTGGGGAAGTGCCTCTCTCATGCAGCGGGCCTGGGCCTGGAGTGGCGGGCTGGCGCAGGACAGAGCAGAAGCTCTCCCCCACACTTGCGAGGCCTGGGGTTGGTTGGATACCTGAATATCTTTTCATATATTTATTTGCTATTTGTATTTCATCACCTGGAAGGTGCATATACATCTCCTATGCCCACTGCTGGATTGGGCCTTTCAACTAGGAAGGTCTGAAATTTGAGTTCTTTATATGTTCTTGATAATTAACCTTTCTCTTAAACGTTCAGCAAACGTATTTTCCCACATGGTGGGTGGTTTTGTTACTCTGCTGATGGTTTTTCTTGCTGTGTAAAAGCTTTTTAGTAAGATGAGATACCAGTTTTTGATTCTTTGTGTTAACAGCTCTGAGGTTGGGTTGGGCTTCAAGGTTTTACCATTCTAGATAGATGCCAACAGAATATACCAAATGGAAGAATTTGGGACCCTGATATTTTTAGCAGATTTGCACAGCCTAAGAGGAAAACATAACTTGTTCTGACTTATGGGAGAAATTAGAAGGAGCTTTAAAACTTTCAAGGAAAGCATTTCAGAGCGCGGAGAATACTCAGAGCCTCCTGAGAGTCACCCTCTAAGGCAGGAAACAGGGCCCCAAACCTTTCCTCCAGGTGTCATAAACAATTAGGTTACCTTAACTCACTCTTTGTAGTTTGAAAACAACTTCTCTGGACACTTCTGCCCTGTTCTCAAAGAATTCACTAAACCCATGTATCATTAGGGAAAGGAGGGTTACAATGTTTTGTGAAAGGACCAAGGATGAAGGATGAATATGTGAGTAGTGGGATGGCTGATCATCAGTTGATCAAGGGACAAAGCTGAAAGAAAGCATTAAAATTTTATGGCTCGTCTGTGCAAAGGCCGTTGGTTCGCTATCCCTGACAAATGGCAACTTCTCTGGTGCTTGGGGTTTGGCAGCATCCCCTGAACACTTCCTCTGCTGCTGTAAAATGCAAAGTACTCTATGCAATACATGTTTGCTTTTCCTCAGTATGGTTGCCCATTATTGATATGTAAATTATCTTAAATTAACTCAAATTATCCAAGTAACTCTGAGGCCCTAAATTATCATTATTTATACATGATCAAGAATTTCAGGGGGGGCTGGTGAGATGGCTCAGTGGTCTAAAGCACCTACTTAGAACAAGCTTATCAAAGCACAGGGACCACGGTTTAATCCCCCAGCACCACATGCCAGCTAGCCCTGACCCCTGGTGGGCTGAGCTGGCCACACACACACACACACACACACACACACACACACACACACAAATAAATAAAAATTTTTTAAAAAAAGAACTTCAGGG